TTTGGTTTTTATTAAGATTTTACATATAAGTGAAATCATATGGTATTTGTCTTTCTCTTATTTCACTTAGCATAATACCTTCTAGGTCCACCCATGTTGTCTTAAATGGCAAGATTTCATCTTTTTGTGGCTGAGTAGTAGTCCTTTACATAATATAAATGCATAATCCATTCATCTATCAATGAACAGTTAGGTTGCTTTCATATCTTGGCAATTGTAAATACTGCAGTGAACATAGGGGTGCATATATCTTTTCAAATTGGGTCTTTTAATTTTCTTCACCTAAATACCCTGAAGTGGGATTACTGGCTCATAGAGTAGTTCTGTTTTCCTTTTTGTTTTTTTTTTTTTTTTAATGTTTTATTTATTTTTGAGAGAGAGATAGAGACAGCATGAGCAGGGGGGTCAGAGAGAGAGGAAGACAGAATTTGAAGCAGGCTCCAGGCTCTGAGCTAGCTGTCAGCTCAGAGCCCAACACAGGGCTTGAACCCACGAACCGTGAGATCATGACCTGAGCCAAAGTCGGACGCTTAACTGACTGAGCCACCCAGGTGCCCCGAGTAGTTCTGTTTTCCATACTAGCTGTACCATTTTATATTTCCGCCAACAGTGCACAAAGGTTCCCTTTTCTCCGCATCCTCACCAGTACTTATTATTTCTTGTCTTTTGAACACTAGCCATTCTGACGATCATGTGGTATCTCATTGTGATTTTCTCTTGAATTTTTCCGATGATGAGTGATGTGAGCATCTTTCATGTGTCTGTTGGCCATCTGTTGTCTTTGCAGAAATGTCTGTTCAAGCCCTCTGCCCATTTCTTTTTTTGTTTTGAAAGAAAGCATGAGCGCAAGCAAGGGAGGGGCAGAGATAGAGGGAAAGAGAATCCCAAGCAGGCTCAATGTTGTCAGCACAGAGGGGCTCTAACGGACTGACCGTGAAACCCTGACCTGAGCCGGAACCAAGGGTTGGATGCCTAAAAGTGACTAAGATACCCAGGCTCCTCTGCCCAATTTTTAATTGGATTTTTTTTTTTTTAAAATACTAAGTTGTGTGAGTTCTCTGTGCATTCTGGACATTGACCCCTTATCAGTTATATCATTTGCAAACATCTCCCATTTAGTAGTTTGCCTTTTCAGTTTGTGGATGGTTTCCCTCACTGTGCAGAAGCTTTAAAAATTTGATGTAGTCCCTCTGTTATTTTTGCCTCATTGTCCTCACCTGAGGAGACTGATCCAAAAAAAAATATATCCGTTTGTGTTTCTGTAGAATGTTTTATGTCCAGTTTTCCCAGACCATATATTAAAGAGACCAGCTTTTCCCTATTGTATATTCTTGCCTCCTTTGTCAAATATTAACTGCCCATTTGAGCATTTATTTCTGGACTGTCCTATGCCGTTGATCTGTGTATCTGTTTTTGTGCCAGTACAATGCTGTATTGATTACTATAGCTTTGTAGCATAGTTGGAAATCAGGGAGCACAATACCTCTCGCTTTGTTCTTTCTCAACATTGCTTTGACTATTTGGGGTCTTTTGTGGTTCCATAAAATTGTAGGACTATTTATTCTTGTGAAATGACGTTGGTATTTTGGTAGGGACTGCATTGAAGCTATGGATTCCTCTGTGTAGTGTGGACATTTTAACAATATTAACTCTTCCAGTTCATGGGCAGAGTGTGTCTTTCCATTTATTTGGGTCATCTTTGATTTCTTTTTATCATTGTCTTAGTTTTCAGAGTATAGATCTTTCTCCTCCTTGGTTAAATTTATTCCTAGGTATTTAATTCTTTTTTATACAGTTGTAAATGGCATTTTCTCAATTTCTTTTTTATAGTTCATTACGAATGAACAGATTTATGTATATTAATTTTGTATCCATCAACTTTACTGAATTCATTTATTCTAATACTTCCAAACTGGAGTCTTGAGAGTTTTCTATACTCTGTTGCCTGCAAGTAGAGACAGTTTTACTTCTTTTTTTTTTTTTTTAATGTTTTATTTATCTCTAGGAGAGAGAGAGAGAGACAGCGTGAGCAGGGGAGGGTCTGAGAGAGAGGGAGTCACAGACTCTGAAGCAGGCTCCAGGCTCCGAGCTGGCAGTCAGCACAGAGCCCGACGCGGGGCTCGAACCCACGAACCGCGAGATCATGACCTAAGCGAAAGTCGGACGCTTAACCGACTAAGCCACCCAGGCGCCCCGAGACAGTTTTACTTCTAATTTGGATGTCCTTTTGCTTGTCTGATTGATGTGGCTAGGACTTCCAGTCCTATGTTGAATAAAACTGGCAAGTAGAGGCATCATGGTCTTCTCTAGTGCATGTATTTTTTCGTTTCATTTAGTGTATTCACCTCTGATTGGTTCTTGATTATATGTTCAGTCTCTTTGCTGAAGTTCTCACTATTCATTCTTCTCCCTACTTTGGTGAGCATCTTTATGACCATTACTGTCAACTCTTTCTCTGGTAGATTATTTACCTCTATCTTCTTTATTTCTTTTTCTAAGATTTTGTCTTGTTCTTTTCTTTGGAACATATTCTTTTGTCTCACTTTGCCTGTTTCCACGTATTCGTTCTATGTATTAAGTAGATTAGTTACATCTCCCAGTCTTGAAGAAGTGGCTTTATGACAGAGGTATCCTGTGGGGCCCAGTAGTATGGACTCCTAATGGTCACCCACGCCGTGTGTCCCAGGGATGTCACCTACATGGGCTGCATGCACTCTCCTGTTACGGCTTCACTGCAGTTGACGTGAACTCACTGGTGTGCAAGGCAGCCTTCAGGTGCTGCTGGCACCAGAGCTAGTCCCACCAAGGCAGGGGTGCTCATGGGGGGCACCAGTACCAGACAAGGCAGCCCACTGCGTGGGGGGTGGCAAAAGGTCACCGGGGAAAGGTTCTGGTGCTGGCTGCCAGGTGTGGCAGAGTCAAGTGTGCTTCTTAAATGAGTGATCTTGTTTACTAGTCCACATAAGGGACATTCTAACTCTGGGCTCTGGGTTGTTTCTAGTAAGATTTTGCTATTTTTGTAGATTTTTATTACCTCAGGTACCATAGTTGTTAGATATAAAGTAAGCAGATGTGCCAGAAAGTGGTGCACTTGACTCTTTAAAGGTTCCCTTTGGCTTTGGATTTTTCAGAGCCAATCCAAATACCTAAACGGGATGTGCCACTGGGTTGGGGATTGGTGTTTTACAGTGCATCTCATTGGATAGAAGTTGGTGGGTGACCAGCTGTCCATCTAACCCGTTCCGTGACCAGTTCATCCTATCACAGGAGTCTTCTTAAGGTGGCAAGCACTCAAATACTCGTGTCCACTATATTTTTGAGGCTGTTTGGCTTTGCGGATGATCCCCATTAGCAGTAGTTTTTATCTACACAAAAGACAACAAATATGCACATATAATGGAACCACGAGATATTTACTGCAGACTGGCCAAGAAAGCTGTGTGTACCACCAGCGGTTCCCACCATGGACTCAACCAGTAAACAACAGTAAATGGGGATTGTTGACAGGAAAGAGCTTCCAAATAACTAGGGAACTCAGATTGAACCAAGAGCTGGTGTGTCAGGTTCTGAATGGAATATTCTGCCAGCTCAAGGTGACCAGCTAAGCCCTGGACTGGAAAGTCAGTTAGACCAGCAGGTTGACTCAAAACCCACAGCCCTCAGAAATGGTAAAAAGATTATGAACTCAAAAATGGATTTGCGATTATCATACCTATGTCCCTCATAGTCCCAAAATGCTGTCAGAAGTTTGCTTCAGTGCCTGGCACTACCACCCAATCTCTTAAAAATTGACTCAGTGATTCATGATTCAGGCAACAACTCTTCTACAATAGAAGGGAGCTCTGCAGAGTTGTAGAAAAGGAAAGGGTTTTTTAAGGCAGAAAGGAGGCAGATAAAGGAAATTATTAGCAAAGAATGCATCGTTTCAAACATGGTCACCCTCCTGAGGGAAGTAGAAAGGCCCGTTGGGCAGATTACCTCCCTAGTGCTAACCAGGTAATTTCAAGTTGACTGGTTAAAGGGTACATTCCTGGAGGGTTGAAACTCAACTGGGTTAGGTTAGGTATTAAGTCTAGGTTTGTTGATACTGGGTTTAGCATAAGTGACTCCATTTTGGGTCTGCTGTCTCCTCTTTAACACCACAAAACAGACTCTGATTAGTAAGGCTGTAGACCATCATAAGAGCACCTTCTAGCCTAATCTCTGTATCTCCATCTCTCCACTCCGTCTCTAGACTCTGCTACTGGGATGACTTTTCTAAAGGACAGCCTTGATTGTGTTACTTTCCTGCTTGAAAACCACCCATTGCTTCCCAGCACCTGCTGCTCTTTACAGAACAAGTGGGCAGCCTCCTGTCCATGCCATTTTCTGTGTGGTTGCCACCCTTGCCTGAAAGCTGGATTTGGGGAGACCTTACTACCCCTACCTCGTGTTCCTCCTCCTAGTACTCATGTTGTCCTTTTGATCCAAGACTTTTTTACTTCTGTTGCCTTCCTCCTCTCACCTGTCTTCAGCACTCCTGTTTCAAATGCTGGTGCTTCTTTCCTTTCACTCTCCCCACGTGCAGTGAAGACTCAATGAGTTCATTTATATACGGTAGATGCATTCTAACCAAGAAGAATTTTGAACCTGTTATAGTCCTTAGCACACAAGCTGTGTTTAATATTGTCCTTGTATGCGTTAGCCTGTAAATTTCTTCAGATGAGGTGAGAATTCTTAGATATTGGTTATAGTTGCCATTCCTGACTACCAAGAAGTAGTCTTGGGAAGTAACTACTAAATGCTCAAAGCATTTGACCATCACTTGCAAGGGCTCTGTAAATACGAAACATGATACTCAGAAGTCTTCATCTGTGTTAGTTTTTGTCATTCTCTTTAGGTGCTGAATAATAGTCCAACCAGTTTTGACTCCCATGTCCCCTTAAGTAGTAGGATAAAACTTTGTGATCCTTATCACATTCTGTATGCCTCACAGAAACCATTTTTGTTCTTCCTTCCAGAAAGGTGCCCGTAATCTGACGTGGCGGTCAGATGTCTTGGTGGAATATCAAGGAGAAGGCCGTAATGTCCCCGACCCAACATGTCCTTCCCTGAGTCCTGGAGTATCTGTGAGTTGGCTTAGACGGTTTTCTTACCAATAGCTCAGCAAGGCTTTGGTTCAGCTGTGTCAAGTACTAAAACCCTTAATCTGAGTCTTGCTCCTCTTTCACTTAACTTTGTCACTTGACTGTGGAGATTATTAGATAAACAGAGTAAATTTGCTAGTCCTGAAGATGCTGCTTCAGACCTGTTGGTAGAATATGCTCCTTGAATTCTTGCAGTTTTTGTAACAAGTGCATGTATTTGCCCATATTCTTGTCTTTACCCCTTCCGGTTATCTTGCCCTTCCCAAAAGCAGTACCATTTTTTATGAGGTAAGCTATCAGTGGCACTCAGTAGGGAAGTGAGGTTGCCACAGTTCTGTGCCACTGCCATCATAAAGTGTCTTGCAATGGTGGCAGCCAGGCTGGTCACGGAGGTGGTAAGAGCACACTGGCCTCACTTTGGAGAGTGGGAAGTAGGAGAGAGGACTCCAGATACCAAAGTGTAGGATATAGTGAAGATCCAACCACAAGTTGGTGAGGAAAACAGGAAGAAAAACCTTACCTGCAGCTGGTTCCACAAAGCTCGTTTTAGCCTTTTGATGCAAATGTTTTAGGGACCGCTCCTTAATGTACCTTAGACACGACTCCTAGGCGATTGATTCTGTCTCCTTACCATCCAGCCTACTCATTTTACAGTTGCTCACTACCACGAATTCTTGTCAGGAGATTAGCAGACAGTGATGGCAAGAGTCTGCGAACACAACTACTGCCAACACATGTTCCTCAGTCAGGTTGGCCAAAAGTACGAAACCGCCCCGTATCTATTTTTGATTTATGTCTCCATGAAAGGCTGCCTGATTTCAGTCCAGTGGTAGGTCTGGCTTGAGCCAGCGTGGTTGCCCTGTAGGCCAGTAGTAGTAGATATTAGAAGAACTGTCTTCATTTAATTCTTTAAATCTCCCTACAGCAATGTTTCCCAGACTGCGTCTGTGAAGATGCTTACAATAACACCTACGCCTGTGTGAGGACCATGTCAACACAGTGGAATTTGCAGTATTGTGAGTTTGATGACCAGGAGGTAAGAAGACACCCACCTCCCCCACCCCCTTGTGTCTAGTGCCAGTGCTTTGTTGGCTGGACTGGGTAGCAGAAGAGCAATGCCAAGGAATGTTCCCTAGGGAAGATGGGTCTCTTATCTGTGCCTCCATTTAGGCTTCCTTCAGTGAAGAACATGGAATTCCACGAGGCCATACTGCGCCTCTCTAACTGCGATCTTTCTGGATGGGATTCTCTCCACTCCCATCACCCAGATACACTTTAAATGCATAGTCTACTTTTTCAGATTGCTGCATGCCTAGGCTTTTTGCTGCTTTGATGGTTTGGGGTGAGAATAAGACACCTTGACTTCTGTGGAGCTGAAAGGAGTTGGGACATTTCCTAGAAGGCTTACTGGCAGCCAGCTTGTTCAGAAACTTCTTTCCCCACAACAGCACAGTCCAGCTGCTCATTTAAATAGATGAGCCATAAGGGGCAAGACCAGGAAGTCCCATCCTTGTAAGAAGGTGGCTTTTAGCGGCACATGGGTGGCCCAGTTGGTTAAGTGTCCGACTTTGGTCAGGTCATGATCTCGTGGCTCATGAACTCAAGCCCCCCCGCCGTCAGGCTCTGTGCTGATGGCTTGGAGCCTGCTTCAGATACTGTGTCTCCCTCTCTCTCTGTCCCTCCCTGCTTGCACACACTCTCTCTCTTAAAAATAAAAACATTAAAAAATTAAAAGGGCAGTGGCTTTTAGCCAGCACGGATCAGGGTGGGTCATCTGAGGACCCCCTGCACCGCGGTCCCTGGTGCCTTCACGCTCCAAGCGCCTGTGCTCACCCACCTCGTCTGGCAGCCCACATCCTGCCATATGGAGCCGGGGCTCAGTGTGCGTCTCAGAAATGGACTTGCTCACCCTTTGTTTGTAGCTCGTGAGCACTTTGAAAGAAGCTCTGTTGCCTGTTGTCCGAGGTCCATTCTGGTTTCTCCTTCCCCCACGATGTTTACCTGTCCTCTTCCTAACCTGTTGCTTAACTCCACTTTGGAGAACGGGGGGGGGGGGGGGGGGGGGGGGGGTGCGGTATAGTGATATTAGATAGAGCTGACATTAGAAACAACAGGATTATATCCTTCCCCACTTGGGAAGACATCCAAAACTGCTTTTAAAACAGGAAACCTTAGCATCTATATAGCACAAGTGAGAGTACTTTCAGATCTGTTCTCATTTGAATCTTAACAGTTCTAAAGCAAAACCTTCAAATGTCAACTCTTACTTCTCTGACAATATTACTATTAAGTCTAGTGTCTGCAGCCTTGCTATTGGAGGGTTCTGCCTTCTGTTCTTCTATTACAGAAGGTCATAAATTTCTCCCCTGCCTCTTTCTGAAGGCATAGGGTGTGCTGCAGGCCCCTCTCCTGAGTGGGCCACAGACCTGAAGCATTTTAACATGGTCTCATGTTACCTCTGGGCTCCTTCAGGATCCTGAGACCAGAAAATGTTCTCCTGGGCACTGCTTTTCCCTTCCCACTTAGAAATAATTCCCATGAGGGGCACCTGGGTGGCTCGGTTGGTTAAGCGTCCAACTTCAGCTCAGGTCATGATCTCACAGTTTGTGAGTTCGTGCCCAGCGTCAGGCTCTGTGCTGACCGCTCAGGGCCTGGAGCCTACTTTGGCTTCTATGTGTTTGTCTCTCTCTCTACCCCTACCCTTTCCTCCCTTGCTCTCTCTGAAAAATATTTTTAAAAAGAAAAAAAAAAGAATTCGCATGAGGAATAGTTCCAATATAACGTTTGCTCTTTTCTTTCCTCCATCTTCGTTCTTGTAGGTGTTTGTAGAAGTCTACAACCTGACTGCAGACCCAGACCAAATCACGAACATTGCTAAAAGTATAGACCCAGAGCTTTTAGGGAAAATGAACTACCGGCTGATGATGTTACAGTCCTGTTCTGGACCAACCTGTCGCACTCCAGGGGTTTTTGACCCGGGGTAAGTTTCCATTTTCTTCGATGGCTTTGCCAAGTTGTCTGTAGCAGTCATGTCGTGCTTAAAGGCAGAGGGAACCTGAGAGGTCCTCTGAGCTAAGCTCAGACCCCTGAGGTCGGCTTTGAGCTAAGCTCTGTTTCTCATTCTTCTGCGTTCTAGTAGGAGCACTGTGTGTTAGTGCATTTGCCTATTGTGCTGGGAAAATGAGCTCTTTGAAACTTCTGCTCTCTGGTGCCGGTGGCAGCGTTAGCTGGAGGCCTAGCCCTGTTCCCTGCCACATGGGGCTCTTCTTCCTCCCCTTCCTCCTATGACTCTTCATGGCACCAACTTGACTGCACTGGTGACAGGTGGAGTTTCTTTAAACTGAGCTGACCACGGCTACCCTGTTCCCTAGCGCCTCCAGGAGGGTGTGTGTGCCTTCATTTCATTTCTCAGAAGCTCTGATTAGAGAAACTTGAATGCCTGCCCGTAAATGTACTGGGCTGAACACACAAAATCAGTTAGAAGGTACAAACTCTCAGGTGTAAGCCCACGGTAGTACGTGAAGGCAGCAAAGGGGATCACCTCCTCAGCACCTCCTGTTCATTCCTCTGGAACAGTTGCTCTTCACCAGTGACGTGGGGTCTCGGGACACCATGCATGTGAGCTGCCTGGAGCAAGAAACCTGTTTCTTTGGGCTTAAGATTATGAACTTTAAAGTTGAATTTTCACTGGGAAAGGATTATTTCAGTTCTTACATTGATTGTAGGAAAGCTGCTGGAAGGCTGATGTCCCAAGCTGAGGGAGAGGAGTAACTTACTTGCCAGCCTTCTGTGAAATATTTTCAGTACACATTAGAGAGGAATACATGGGAATGAGTAGAGAAAGTGAATGATAGACTTTTGATGAAAAGATGTGGAACGCTTTTGCTTCTAAATACTGTATAAATACTTCTAAATCCATGTCGGCCAAAGACACATGGATGCCAGCAAATTAAAAGTAGTAGGTAATGGTAGAAAAAGACAGTATTCATAATTTTATATTACTTAAGTCTTCTCTTTATATGGGTAATTCTGTTAATGGAATCATTGGTCAGGCATTCTGACTGCCCGGCTTGGAGCTCTCCTCCAAAGTAGTGAAGTGTATCCTCCCTGACACCAGTTCCTGGGAGTAGGATGGACATTCAGTCTCTAAAGTAAAAGGCACAAGACTTCTAGTTGACACATGCGGATTTTGCAGTTTCCAATAACAGCTGTGCTCAGAATGGTTTATCAAATCAAATAAAATTGGAGGTCTAGGGGTACTTGCCTGGCTTCGGAGGTAGAGCATGTAACTCTTCATCTTAGGGTCATGAGTTCAATCACCATGTTGAGTATAGAGATTACTGAAAAAAATAAAATCTTGGTAAAATAACAAAAAAATTAGATGTTTGTAGCAGCAGTCTCTAGATGACTTGCAAACTTAAATCATCTAATCTTTCTTTTAATTTTTTTAATGTTTGAGAGAGATGGAGCACAAGCAAGGGAGGGGCAGTGAGAGAGGGAGACACAGAAGCAAAAGCAGGCTCTGAGCTGTCAGCACAGAGTCCGGTGCAGGGCTCAAACCCACGAAGCAGGAGATCATGACCAGAGTCAGACCCAGGTGCCCCATCATCTAATTAATTAAATCTTGGAGAGTCAGGAACTAACACCTCTTGGAGAATGGTGTTTGGCCAGACGGTCCCTGGCCCTGCTGCTGCTAGAGCGTGGACCTGCTGTGCTGACAGCTGCTGCGCCAATATGGCAGATACCTTGGGTCTTCTGAGCATCGACCGTAAGGGTTAGGACTTAACCATAGAATTTCCAGTCTTTAGAGCCCAGAGGTAGATGTGCCCAAGGGTCACCCTGTTAGAACTGCTAAGCAAGATCTCCTGACTCCCAGGCAGGCTGTTTTATAACTGTAATTGAATTGTCTTGTTCACATTCTAAGAGCTTATAACCAAAACTCCAGATGCTTGCTTTACTAATGTGAGCCTCAGCTATTTCTTTTTAAATTCCTCAGCAGTAGCATATTCCTTCCCACTAAATATTTAGGCTATAGACTCTCTGAAAAATGGAGGTCAGCAGACTAGGTCCTACAGGCCCAATCCAGCCACCACCCTTTGAAAATAGCCACAAACATTGATTCACATACAGCAACAAGGTTGAGTAGTAGTTAGGACAGAAACTGTACAGCCCACCCTTGTTTTAAAATAATGCTAAGTGAGAATTAGCTTATCCCTAAAGATTGCAGGTAAAAGCAGAATAGGACGTTATTTCTAGCCTGCCTGGGTAAAATGTCTTTCCAGCCAAACTACCTCCTTTAATTTTCGCACCCAGGGGGGAAGTAAATGCTGAATGGTAGTGTGGAGCGTGGCCAACTAATATTACGTACCAGACATATTACGTGAATTGAACTGCCTTACTATTTTATCGGTAGCCAGAGAAGTTAATGACTTACCTGAGTTCGTAATAAGCCAGATGGAAACTTCTGAGGTTCAGGCCTGTGTTCATGCCTGCCAGTCTCCCTGAACTGTGAGAGAAGGAAGGGCTCTCGGGCTGCTGGTCGGGCTCCAGCAGGGGGAGGCCGCCTCCCCCACCCCCCAAAAAAACAAAACCCAGCTCCTATCTTGCCTCCTCCCACTGCCTCTCAAGATTAACCTTGTTTTTCTCCTCTGTGTTTTACATTATTTTGTGCTTGCTTCCTTGTGATGGGAATGCTCTTAATTATTAAATACTTGCGCTTTGTACTACAGACTTTGCCACGAGATTCCTTTCTGGTGATCTCATTGTTCCTTTTATCTTCCTTCCTGCCGTCCTTTCCACGGAACATTCTGGAGAAGGAACACGCTGGCTAACTGGGGTTGATGTAACTTCCTCTCTTTCCTCCACAGATACAGGTTTGACCCTCGTCTCATGTTCAGCAATCACTGCAGTGTCAGGACTCGAAGGTTTTCCAAACATCCTCTGTAGCAACCTCTGCAGCTGGGTCCCAGCACACCTCTGTCTGATGAAGTGATTGTAGTAGGAATCTGTAGCTTGTCCTCAAGACCACGCCCGGAAGAGTCTCTGGACTGGCTCTAAGTCCTGTTTGAAAAAGCAACCCAATCAGCTGACTTCTTGTGCAATGTGTTAAACTGTGAACTCCGCCCACACGGCAGGAATGGCTGTCCCTGGTCCCTTCATTCACCACATACCGAATGCTCCTGAGGTCTTTATCCTCACCACACCCTTTCTGTCCTGGGGTTACAGTGCTTGATTATTCCCCAGGGGGTCATAGTCTGAACTTATAAGTCCCATTCAGATAAATGGCAATACTTGGGGGTGGGGAAATGGGGTGGTTTACAGCTTGACCACTTCACCATCAAAAACACCAAGATCACATAGTTTGAAGAATAACCCTCAGAGCTGAGTCATCAAAGCAAGAACAAATACCACTATTTTCAGATTAGTAGAAATACATTGTTTATAATATCACAATGTGATAAGGTCACAAGCTCAAAACCTGTCAGCCAGCAAAGCACGTCTGTGTTGTTTTTGGGGTTTTTTGTTGTTTTCCATGTTCTGGGCTGTTGCTACACTGAAGTAGAAGAGTAAGTTTTTGGTACAGGCTAGTAATTCAAGGTAGTTATAAAAGGTGATAGCCATCGACTTCCTGATGGCCGCTAACCACATGGAGTGCCAGTCAACAACAGAGGTATCAGGGGAATGTCTCTTCTCTTGATAATTACTTCTCTGAGATCTGAAAAACAAAGTGGCTTAGGTAGCTTAGTATTTCTCAGTAGAGAAAAAAAACTTGCAAGGGTTGATGAAGGTTGCCTTTTCTGAGGACCTTCTGTAGACAGGGCCCTTGGGTTGACAGGTTGAAGGGCTATTGTTGGGATTTAGTAAGTGCCTGTCTAGCAGGGAGCCTGGCTTTCAATTTTGACTCTCTGCATTTTGTTGACATTCTCTTCATTTGTTACCGTTTTTGCAAAGGTCTGGCTGCTTTACCCTACCTACCTTCTTCCCTTTTAGAGAAGTTCTTCTAGAGTGTTTGGAGTCTAGCATAATTCAGGCTGCATTCACTGTTCCCCTGGCAAAGCCAGATCTTGTTGAGGTTTCCTGTGTAGAACACCTACATTTGTATGTTTCTGGACTCAAAGACCAATCCCGTTTCTATTGTTTTCTTCACAAGACAGTTCTCTGTAGGGGGTCAGCGGGGTGGGGGGAGGAAGAGCTGTGGTTTATAACCTGTTCAACTCAGGCAGTAGTGATTTTAGCTTTATGTACGGTCTTAGGTTGAGCTTTAAGCACTTTGTAAGACATGGCTGTAAGCAACTTCTCTGTCAGAACTCGAGAGAGCCATGTTGGGTCAATAGCCATTGGGTTTATTCCTTTACCTCATGCAATCCCAGCGACTGTGGGGGTATTTAGAGGTGAAAGAGGCAAGTGAAACGAACACCTCTGCTGTGAATGTTTTAGGGAGAGAAATTCTCAATATTTTGTAACTAAAAGCAAACTACAATGTTAAATATGGGTATTAGCTTTATTCTACACTTTGATTCTTAACATTATCAGTCAACTTCTACCTTAATGAAAGTTGACCTTAGTTATTCCCGAATAAAAAGAAACCAATACTTACCAGGTCTTATATTGTGATGTCCTATTATTCCATTTTAGGATGCTGGTCCCTGAGAGCAGGTAGAGTCCTAAGAGCGACACAAATCAGCTGCCCAGTGTCCCTGCCACATTGTTCTCACATTCAGCGATTTCTGTTCGGGTGGCAGGATGGGGTGCCCGCCTGTGTCCCTCTCCTGTATGTGGTATGCTTCCTGCTAACCTTGAAGTGGCCTCTAACTTCACCTTCTCTCAGCCTCGCTTCATTCTGGATCTGTGCTAAACTCCCCTTTCATAAAGAGGCCTCCTTTTATAGCCTAGCAGACAAAATGCACTGAACTTTTGGCAATGCCTGTGTACAAGGAACCCACGGCAAGAGGCTTGGCTTGTTTCTCAATTATATGAATTTGAATTATTTTATCTTTTAAAGAAGGCCAGGTCGGGACTCGTTGGTACCCTTCAGAGTAGAAAACTAACCATTAGGAGGGATCCAAAGCCCTAAGAATTCATAGAGATTCTGCCTTAAAAAATTTCCTTCAGGGGCCTCCCTCGGACACAGAGTGGGGAACCCCTGTGTCTCTGAATTTGAGCAATGGTACTGTTGCAAAATACATTTTTAATTCACAATACTATGGCTTTTGTACAAAATCGTAACGGTAGCCATGGAAATTATACCTTCGTCTGTGAGAAGCGTTCTTAAATTTATTTTTAGCATCTAAAGATCGATGCTTTAAAGCACTAAAGGATTTTTCCAGGGTCCTTTTGAAGAGGAAGCGAAGGGTACTCTGATCCACCAGAGACTGATAGAGGAGTATTTGCTTCTCTACTTTTCACCACCACTCGGGTCCCACACAGACTGTTGTGAATTCGTGCGTTTGCATCTTCTGTTCCCAGAAGTCACTCTGCCTTGGCTTTGTGTCATCTCGGTCACCTGACTTAGAAAGTGCCCTTCCAAAGACCCTGTTCACTGCTGCACTTTTCAACGAATTAAAATCTATTTCTGTTCTAGTGGGAACGTGTCCTTTGTTTTAGTCCTCAAGTCGTAATTCTGACAAGTTTTTTTTTTTTCTTTTTTTTGTCCTGCTGGTTAACGTTTTCATCACTCACCTAGGACTGGAGAGGGAGCAGTTTCCTCACTAGCACCGTAGTCTCTGCCTCCAAAGCTCTTTGACACGTGCTCTCCCGCTGACCAGGACCCCTGGATAAGCACCGTGGAGAAAAATGATAAATCTTTGTGCGTTTACAGCTTTGCATGGAAAAAAAGCGCCTTATCTTGGCAGACCTTAAGTTAAAAAAAACTCAGCTTAATTTTCAGGGTGCTTGCCCTTGATGTCCACTCGTGTGACCCATTGTCCTAAATGAAGGACTTTATACAGGGGTTGACATTAACTTAAACGGAGGTCTCTGTCACAACTACCTACCGCTGATGTAACACAAAACAGTAGCTCGAGTCAATACTTTATGTAATGAGTGACTATGTTCTGACAAAACTTTACTTCTCAGAACAGGCCAGGATTTGCCAACCCGAGACCTAGTCGGTTGCCTTGCATATTCCAAATCATGAAAACCAGCACCACCTGGGTGGCTCTGTCAGTCGAGCAAGGACTGATTTCAGCTCAGGTCATAATCTCACAGTTCATGAAATCAAGCCCTGTGTTGGGCTCTATGCTAACAGCATAGAGCCTGTTTAGGATTCTCTCTCTCTCTCTCTCTCTCTCTGCCCCTCCCCTGCTCATGTGTGTGCTTTCAAACATTCTTTTTAAAAGATGAAAACCAAGTAGAAAAAGACATTAGAGGACGTCCACAAAGTTAGCAGATCACAATACAGAAAGTAATTTGAAGGGCACCTGGCTGGCTCAGTGGACAGAGTATGCCACTCTTGATCTCAGGGTTGTGAGTTTGAGCCCTATGTTGGGTCTAGAGATTACTAAAAATCTAAAAAAAAAAAAAAAAGTGTCCAAATAAAAATATATTTCTATATGCTTTCCTAATGCTTAGCTAAATCACAAAAAGGTAGTTTGTATCAAAAGGTGAGACCAACAAAAAACATTTATTTGTACGAAGCAAGGCTAAGTACAGACTCTACCAGATCATTTTTCTACCTTACCCCACCTGGTCCACGGAGACTGTACCCTGCTCTGTAGAACCAGACTCCCTACAGAATTGGTCTTCGTTTCAGTCTCTTCCTCCAGCAGCAATGGGCTTGAAAGCCAGGTTATGTGTGTGCCTTGAAGTCTGTTGGGGGAACAGCAGACCCAGAGACCCCGAAGGCCCCGAGTTGGGGCCTCTGGAGGAGGCCTAGGAATTCCCACAGAAGACAAGCTTGCGATGTGGGACTTGGGAGCCTGCTCCTAGCCTAGCATACAGCACATGACCGTGCCAGCACTTCATCTTTCAGAGGAAACTTCATGACCACCTTCTGCCCAGGAGAACTGAGATCCACAAATAGTCTCTCACCCTGCAAGTCTCACTGATGCTCACAGGACAGAGATACATTGGATGCTTGTAATCTGTACTTACTGTAATAAAGCACGACTGCAGAGTAGGTTTTTTCCTTCAGCTGAATGTACCCAAGCTCACATAGCTAATTAAAGAATCAAGATTTCAAAGAAGTTCTGGCTTCAAAGCCAACTTGTCTCTGATCGAAGAAGGATTTTTCCCTCCTCTATTATACATCTGAGTGCCTACCCTCTCTGCCTGGCAGTGAACTTGGTTATGAAATGGAATTATCCTATTCCTGACCTCTAGAACAGTATATAGATTGAAAAAAGAACTTCCAACCAAGCATCCTCTATCTAGCAAAGTCATTCAGAATTGGAAGGAGAGTTTTCCAGACAAAAGCTGAAGGAGTTCATCACTAAACTGGCCTTATAAGAAATGTTAAAGGAGGGGCGCCTGGGTGGCTCAGTCGGTTAAGCATCCTGACTTCGGCTCAGGTCATGATCTCACAGTTTGCGGGTTTGAGCCCCGTGTCGGGCTCTGTGCTGACAGCTCAGAGCCTGGAGCCTGTTTCAGATTCTGTGCCTCCCTATCTCTCTGATCCTGCCCTGTTCACGCTCGCTCGCTCGCTCTCTCTCTCTCTCTCTCTTTCAGAAATAAATAAAACACTTAAAAATTTTTAAAGGAACTTTTTTAAGCTGAAAAGAAAAGGGTGCTTGCTAATTAGCAACAAGATCTATGAAAGCATAAATCACACTGGTAAAGGTAAATATATAGTAAATGTAGACTCATAAAGCTAATTTAAGGTTAAAAGGCAAATGTAGTAAAAATAGAAGTATAATACTTAAGGGATGCACCAAAATAAAAGCTGTAAAATGTGAGTGACATCAAAAACATTAAAAAGTTGGCGAGGAGGGGGCAAAAATTTGTTCAACCTATCCACTTGAAATAGACTGGTTTAAGTTCCTTATAAGCCTCATGTTAACCACAAGGCAAAAACCAATAGTAGTTACACATCCTGCTATAGAAAGTCATCAAACCATCAGAGAAGAAAGCAGCGAGAAACAGCCAGAAGACAGGCCAGAAAATAATTAACAAATGGCAATAAAGATAAGCACAAAAAAGATTTTAACAGCAATAAGTACATACCTACCAATAACTTTTAAATATAAATGAACTAAATTCTCCATTCACAGGACACAGAATAGCTAAGTGGATTTAAAAACAAACTAACCTAAAAACCAGGCGCCTGGGTGGCTCAGTCAAGGTAACATGACTTCGGCTCAGGTCATGATCTCCCAGATCATGGATTTGAGCCTGGTGTCAGGCTCTGTGCTTACGGCTCGGAGCCTGTAGACTGCTTTGGATTCTGTGTCTTCCTCTCTCCCTGCCCCTCTTCCACTTGCACACTCTCTCTCAAAAATAAACATTTAAAATATTAAAAATAAAACACAAGATCTATCTACATGCTGAGAAGGGACTCACTTCAGCTCTAAGGATACGTACAGCTGAAAAGTGAATGGCTGAAAAAAGATACTCCATGCAAACCACAACCAAAAGGCCCTGGCACTGGCTCCATGCTCAGCAGGGAGCCTGCTTGAGATTCTCCCTCCTCCCTCTCCCTCTCCCTCTCTCCCCCCTCCCTCCCTCCCTCCACCCCACTTCTTGCTTTCTCTCTCTAAAATAAAGCAGCGGCAGCTGTATGTATGCTTTGTTTCAAAGTCTGTTTTGTCTAATAAGAAACAAAATAGTGCATTACCGAAGGAGCCAACAGGAAGATCTGTTTCTAATCATTTCTACACCATTCATGCCCCCAACATAGGAGCATCTACATACATAAAACAAATATTAACGGACTGCAGAAAAGAGGGAACTTGTCCCTGATACCTGTGTCTACAGGGAAACGAAGTTCAGACTACGACGGGGAGGCGCCCCTACCGCGCAGGCGGCTTCTTACCCCGCTCCGCAGCACGGCTGCTGGGAAAGACGTCAACACAGAGCTCTTTTCACACCTCACGTAGCTATTTGCAGAATGGCTGTGGGAAGCCAGCAGCCGAGATGGTTCCCAACGATCCTGCATAGTATCTTTAAATGGTGCGTCAGGGCTGGGCCAGGTGACCAGCAGGATGGGGCATATGCGACATCATGTGACTTCGAGCCTGGATCATAAAAGACACGGCCGCTTGCCCTTGCTCTCTCTCCGCTGATGCTGGAGGAAGCCTGCTGCCACATCATGAAGGCGCCCAAGCAGCCCTATGGTTAGATCTGTGTGGGGCGGCCCCAAGCCCTCCTGCAAATGCCCGGCCCCAGCCTGCCAGCCAGCCCTGTGACAGAGCCACCCCAGAAGCATGTCCTCCAGCCCCAGCCAAGACGTACGCTGTTGGCCTGGGCGGCAGTCATCTGCAGTGCCATCTCCTGAAGAGACGCTCAAGCAAGAACCAGCCAGCAAAGCTGCTCCCAAACCCCCGATGCACAGAAACCGTGTAATAGAATAATGTTGAATGGTTGAATGTGGCTTTAAGCTCATTTTGAAGTAATTTGTTGTGCAGGAATATAGCACTAATATAAGGACAAAAAAAAAAAAAAAAGCTGGCTTATCAAGAGAGAAACTGAGGCAAGCCTTTTGCCAAAACCTGTTCAATTCAAAACCTATTCAGCCCAGGCCCAGGCAAAGCTGCCTCATGGTAGAGGCTCATCTGGTCTCCACAGTGCGAAAAAGTCTTATGTGTGTTACGTACGTGAAGAATATAAACCAACACTGGCTCGCAGCTATCGTTCCAAAACCAAGTAGAAGTTTCTCTGTTGGAATGATTGCTTACATGTCCTCACGTGTTGTTAAAGTCTTCAATGGATTCTCTTGGCTGGCGGGCTCCGGTCACAAATCCAAGCCTCTCTCCAGCAGGTGTCCGTAACTTCCAGAAGCTGGCGTGGGGGAGAGCGCTGCACAGGGGCAGAGCAGCTCCCTCGGCTACAGCCGCGAGCTGCTATTCCGACTGGATGCGGGAAGCGCCTGTTGTCAAACCCAGGTCAGCACGCACCACTCCCGGGCCTCGTCCCAACGCTAGTGAAGTAGCTCAGAGGCAAAACGCATTCTGTTCCCGCTAAGGTGTCTGAGAACGCGGCTCCTCCATGCACTTCTCTCCCTCATTACCCCCCCCCCACCCCACCCCCGTCTCTCCCAGCACCTCCCAGATTAGGTGAGCCGCACTTCCTTAGGCCTGAGAGCAACACGACAGCCTGGATTCTTTTAGCGAACTTCGTCATCTATCCGAGTAGCCTTCAGCCTTTGACGATGCCTCTAGAGATGCTCCCGGGGAAGAGGAAGCCGGGGGTGCCAAGTCTGGGCCTCTGCGCAGCCCAGGACAGAACCTGGGGCCCCAGTCATCCCGCCCCATGTAGTGGGATGCATCCCGCAGTGCTGCGGGAGGCCCGGCCGACTTCCGCCGCGGGTGAACACGGCAGCTCACAGTCAGCCTGCAGAGGATCACCGGCCCGTCTCCAAGCTGCCCGAGCGGCCGTTTGCCGACAAGACTACGAAACGCCGAGTCTTCCGAATGCGGTGCCCTGCA